TGTGTGTGTGTGTGTGTGTGTGTGTGTGTGTGTGTGTGTGTGTGTGTTGGGGCGGCCATGCACTCATGAGCACCCAGGCAAAGGCCTGAGGAAGCTCTCAGGAATTCTATTCTATTCCATTGAGGCAGCGTCTCTCACTGAACTGGAGGTAGACAGTCAGCAAGCTCTAGGGATCCTCCTGTCTCCACGTCACATAGCACCGATATATCAAGTCTGCATACAGCCACATTAGGCTTTTCACATGGGTGCTTGGATTTGAACTCAGGTCTCCATGCCTGTACAGTAAGTGCTTACCCACCAAGCTGCCTCTCTAGTTCCTCCTTTAAGAAAGATATATCCCCTTTGAGGAAATTTATAAGGGAATAGCTATACTGTTCCATGCTAGACTTCTTCTCTCAGGAGCTCCAGGAGCTTTGGGAAACACTCATCTAGGTTCTGGTTCAAAGGAAACAGAAGGATGAAGGAATGGAACATGGTGTCTGGATATACGTACCAGCCTTTGCAGCAGCCTGAGTTGCCTGGGGACCCTGAGGGAGACCTGGAAAGACAGAAGAAATGTGAAATAGGACTGAGAAGTATTCACAACTGAGTCCTGTGAAGGCGTTAAAACCCGCTCAAATTCCCCACTAAGGATAGATAACTGGCATAAAAATCTGTTCCGAGGTGGCTTTTGTTTGTTTGTTTTGATTAGAAAGTGTTTTTCTAGGCTAGAATTAGAATCTAACTTTCTTACACTGCTTGACTCAGAATCCATGAGGTCAAGCTACCTCATCACCTGGGTGTGCCTAGATCTGTAACTGACGAGAGCAGAGACACCCACAGAATGCTTGCATTCTCCTTCACTCAGTCTTTGGATTGCCATTAAGTTCCTTGCTATTGGGTCCACTGCATCATTGTAATACAGACATTTGGCCCTCTTCTGGTAAGTTTTTAGTCCATGCAGAACTCTAGGAAAACCAGACACAACACTGAAGGTACCCTGAATTGCCTTAAAGATTTCTATTTTCTCATAGGCAAGAGATGGGTGCAGAAAAATAATAAAAATTTCCTTAAAAAAAATCACAGGGGCTGGAGAGATGTCTCAACAGTAAAGAGTTCTTCAAAGGACCCAAGTTCAATTCCCAGCACCTACATGGTGACTCACAACAATCTATAATTACAGTTCCTACAGATCAAATACCCTCTCAGGCCTCCACAGGCACCAAGTATACAAGTGGTATACACACATACAGACAGGCAAAACACCCATAAGCATAAAAATAAATAAATCTTAAATAAGTAAATAATTAAATATTAAAATCACAGTAATAATTAGTCAGTCCCTCTGGGCTTATTTAAAAATTCTAACAGATCTCTGAGTATCATCCACAGCAAACCTCTACTTAAACAGCAGAAACTTAACAGTTAGTACTAGGAGTAACAAATTTTCCTTTGGAAAATATAGGACAGATACTTGAAAAGGATGCCCAGGCTTTGCACATTTTCAAATCCATGTTGGGTTTAACTGTGTATTTGCATCTATCTGTGTGAGGTGCTGTACCCACGCCAGAAGCCTTGGGCTCCCCTAGAGCCAGAGAGTAGAACTCAGTGACAGCAGGAAGCACACTTGATCTTTGAGCCATCTCTCCAGACCCTGGCTTTACATATATATATGTGTGTGTGTGTGTGTGTGTGTGTGTATGTATATATATGTATATATTTGAGGAGTAAAGGGTTTATTTGGCTTATACTTTTTTTCCAAGAGAACATATTTTTTATTGATTTTTATTGAGCTCTACATTTTTCTCTGCTCCCCTCCCTTTCTCTCCCCTCCCCTTCAACTCTCCCAAGGTCCCCATGCTCCCAATTTACTCAGGAGATCTTGTCTTTTTCTACTTCCCATGTAGATTAGATCCATGTATGTCTCTCTTAAAGTTCTCGTTGTTGTCTAGGTTCCCTGGGATTGTGATTTGTAGGCTGGTTTATGTTTAAAAATCACCTATGAGTGAGGACATGTGATAATTGTCTCTCTGGGTCTGGGTTACCTCACTTAATATGATGTTTTCTACCTCCATCCATTTGCCCGCAAATTTCAAGATGTCATTATTATTTTTTTTTTTTTGCTGTTTAGTACTTCATTGTGTAAATGTACCACATTTTCCTTAACCATTCTTCAAGTCAAGGGGCATTTAGGTTGTTTGCAATTTCTGGATATGATGAACAATGCTGCTACGAACATGTTCTTGTGACATGGTTGAGCATCCTTTGGATGTATACCAAAAAGTGGTATTGCTGGGTCTTGAGGTACGTTGTTTCCTAATTTTCTGAGAAATCATCACACTGATATCCAAAGGGGCTGTTCCAGTTTGCACTCCTACCAGCAAGGCAGGAGTGTTCTCTTTACCCCACAACCTATCCAGCAGAAGTTGTCATCAGTGTTTTTGATCATGGCCATTCTTACAGGTTTAAGATGGAATCTCAGAGTTGTTTTGATTTACATTTCTCTGATGACTAAGGATGTTGAACATTTCCTTAAGTGTCTTTCAGCCATTTTAGATTCCTCTGTTAAGAGTTTTCTGTTTAGGTCTGTACTCCCCCCCCCTTTTTTTTTTAATTGGATTATGTGCTCTTTTGATGTCCAATTTCTTGAGTTCTTTGTATATTTTGGAGATCAGCCCTCTGCCTGATGTGGGTTTGGTGAAGATCTTTTCCCATTCTGTAGGCTGTCGTTTTATCTTGTTGACCGTGTCCTTTGCTTTACAGAAGCTTTTCAGTTTCAGGAGGTCCCATTTATTAATTGTTTCTCTCAGTGTCTGTGCTACTGGGGTTATATTTAGGAAGTGGTCTCCTTTGCCAATGCGTTCAAGGGTCCTTCCCACTTTTTCTTCTATGAGGCTGGCTTTATGTTGAGGTCTTTGATCCATTTGGACTTGAGTTTTGTGCATGGTGATAGATATGAATGTATCTTCATTCTTCTACATGCTGATATCCAGTTATGCCATCACCATTTGTTAAACATGTTTTCTTTTTTTATTTGATATTTTTTGCTTCTTTGTCAAAAATCGGGTGCTCGAAAGTGTGTGGAATAATATCCGGGTCTTCGATTCGGTTCCATTGGTCCTCCTGTCTATTTTTATGCCAATACCAGGCTGTTTTCAGTACTGTAGCTCTGTAGTAGAGTTTGAAATCAGGGATTGTAATGCCCCCAGGAATTCTAGGATTGTTTTTGCTATCCTGGGTTTTTTGATTTTTCTATATGAAGTTGAGTATTGTTCTTTCGAGGTCTGTGAAGAATTTTGCTGGGATTTTGATGGGCATTGCATTAAATCTGTAGATTGCTTTCAGTAAGATTGCCATTTTTACAATGTTAATTCTACCTATTCAAGAGCATGGGAGATCTTTCCATTTTCTGCTATCTTCTTCAATTTCTTTCTTCAAAGATTTAAAGATCTTGTCATACAGGTCTTCCATTAGTTTTGTTAGAGTTACTCCAAAATATTTTATGTTATTTGCGGCTATTGTGAAGGTTGATGTTTCTCTGATTTCTTTCTCAGCCCATTTATCATCTGTGTAAAGGAGGACTACTGATTTTTTGAGTTAATCTTGTATCCTGCTACATTGCTAAAAGTGTTTATGAGTTGTAGAAGTTCCTTGGTAGAATTTTTGGGGTTGTTTATGTAAACTATTATATCATCAGCAAATACTGAGAGTTTGACTTCTTCTTTTCCAATTTGTATCCCCTTGATCTCCTTTTGGTGTCTTATTGATCTAGCTAAGACCACAAGAACTATATTGAATAGATATAGAGTGGACAACCTTCTCTTGTTCCTTGTTTCATTGGGATCATTGTGAGTTTCTCTCCATTTAGTTTGATGTTGGCTGTTGGCTTGCTGTATATTGCCTTTATTATGTTTAGGTATGTTCCTTGTATCCCTGCTCTCTCCAAGACCTTTACCATGAAGGGTTGTTGTATTTTGTCAAAAGCTTTTTCAGCATCTAATGAGATGATCATATGGTTTTTATTTTTCAGAATGTTTATATGGTGGATTACATTGACAGATTTTCATATGTTGAACAATCCCTGCATCTCTGGAATGAAGCTGACTTGATCATGGGTGAATGATGGTTTCGATGTGTTCTTGGATTCGAATTGCTAGTATTTGATTTAGTATTTTTACATCAATGTTCATGAGTGAGATTACTCTGTAATTCTCTTTCTTAGTAATGTCTTTATGTGGTTTGGGTATCAGGGTAATTGAAACTTCATAAAAAGAGTTTGGCAATGTTCCTCCTTTTTCTATAGTATGGAACAATTAGAGAAGTGTTGGTATTAGTTCTTTGAAAATCTTATAGAATTCTGAGCTGAGGCCATCTGGTCCTGGGCTTTTTTTGGTTGGGAGACTTTTGATGACTGTTTCTGTTTCTTCAGCAGTTTTAGGTCTGTTTAATTTGCTTATCTGGTCTTGATTTAATTTTGGTAAGTGATATTTATCCAGAAAGTTATCCATTTCCTTTAAGTTTTCCAATTTTGTGGAGTACAGGTTTTCGAAATATGACTTGATGATTCTCTGGATTTCCTCTATGTCTGTTGTTATGTCCCCCGTTTCATTTCTGATTTTGTTAATTTGAATATTCTCTCTTTGCCTTTTGGTTAGTTTGAATAAAAAAAATGCCTATTTTATTAATTTTCTCAAAGAACCAACTCTTTGTCTCATTGATTCTTTGTATTGTTTTCTTTGTTTCTATTTTGTTGATTTCAGCTCTCAATTTGATTATTTCCTGCCATCTAGTTCTCTTGGGTGAGTTTGCTTCTTTTTGTTCTAAATTTTTCAAATGTTCTGTTAATTCACTAGTATGGGACTTTTCCAGCTTCTTTATGTAGGCATTTAGTGCTATGAACTTTCCTCTTAACACTGCTTTCATTGTGTCCCATAAATTTGGGTATGTTTTGTGATCATTTTCATTGAATTTTAGGAAGTCTTTAATTTCTCCCTTTATTTCTTTCTTGAACCATTGATGATTTGGTGAGCACTGTTTAATTTCCATGTGTTTGTGGGCTTTCTAGAATGAGTATTGCTGTTGAATTCTAGTTTTAAGCCATAATGATCTGATAAGATACAAGGGATTATTCCAAATTGTTTTGTATCTGTTGAGGTTTGTTTTGTTATCGAGTATGTGGTCAATTTTTGAAAAGGTTCTATGAGGTGCTGAGGAGAAGGTATATTCATTTATGTTTGGATGGAATATTCTATAGATGTCTGTTAAGTTCAATTGAGTCATAACATCCGTTAGTTCCCTTATTACTATGCTCATTTTTTGTCTGACTGACCTGTCCAGTGGTGAAAGTGGAGTGTTGAAGTCTCCCACTATTAGTGTGTGGAGTTTAATGTATGATTTACTTTAGAACTGTTTCTTTGATATATGAGGGTGTCCTTGTATTTGGGGCATCAATGTTCAGTATTGAGAGTTCCTCTTGATGGATTTTTCCTGTGACTAATATGAAATGTCCCTCTTTATCTCTTTTGATTGATTTTAGTGTGAAATCTATTTTGTTAGATA